TGGTCTCGGGTCCTGTGAGGTTTCAGAATCATCAGGCTTGCGCCATGCGCCACAACCCTGGCCATGGTGTTTCCAGTGGAGGCCTCCGCGGCTTCCCTGGCGTCCAGTCAGGGGCCTGGAATGTGAGCTCCTGTTCGAGGCTGAGCTGCGGCTCCAGTCTTCCAGGCTAAGAACTGCCGGGAAAGTGCGTGTCACGATGTTTCCGACTGAGTTCTTTTCAAAGGTACACTGTATCCTGTGAGGTTCTTGTGGTCTGTCACATACCCCAAGAATGAGGGCTCACCTGCATGTATGGCGTGACTGGTGTGGTTAGGAGAGGAGGAGATGTGCACCCTCTGAACAGAAAGCACCCACCTCGGCTGCCGTGCACACTGCTCCTGCAGCCTGGGTTCCCCAAACAGGGTTTCTCTTTCTCTGCTCCATGGCGCGCACCCCCTCGTGGGGTGCCTCAATTCTTCCTGTCATCCTTGTGGTAACAGAGCACCCCGAGTTTTAGCTGGACTCACCTCCTTAGCACCTTTGGAAACCCATGTGACCAAGCCCAGGCCAATGGGTCTCCCACCCCCACCCCCACGGTCACTCTGAGAGCCTTCCTCTCTCATCTGCTTTCTCCCTTGGGAGGTGGCAAGGTCCAGGGCTGCATTCTGACTTCGGGTCCAGTCAGGGTGGGCAACAGCTTGAAGAAGAATGCCTTCTGGTGTGAGAATCTCACCCCCCCACCCCTGGAACTCACCTCCCACCTGCCATCTTGCGTCCTCCTCTCCCCAAGGTAGCCTAAGTCACACCGGAGCCCAGGCCAAGTGTTAGATTCCCAGGCCTGTCCAGCCCAGAACCCCCACCCCGACCCCACCCTGCCTCACAGGGGGACTCCGGCATGCCCTGCACCAGGCTGGCCAGCGCGGAGATAAGCAGAACCAAGGAGCAAGCGAACCACGGAACCAGACTTTCAGGAACGGGTCCTGAGTGGCCCACAAACCCTCCATCTCTCTTAGGCACTCAGCTGGAACACGCTACAATTTAATATTTAAACAAGAAGTTTAATATTCATACAGCAGCTGGGGGGATGGTCTCTCCTGCCTCAGAACTCCGGGTTACAGGACTGCTCCCTGGCTCCCTGGGTTTGGCCAGCCAGGACCTTCAATAAATAATTGGCCGCATGCCTGCCTGGGACCCCTGCCGGCCACCCTGGGACCCCCCAGGAAAGGGACAGTGAGAAGGGAGGGCTCATCTTCTCCTCTGACTCCGGGATAATACAGCCCGCTGCAAACACACCGGCCACAAACCAGCCTGAGAGCAGAGGATCTGATTACAAGTCCCCCGGGCAGGTTTCCACGAGCAGCCCCACCCTGGCCTTTTCCGAGAAATGTTCCCGTTGCCTCTCCAGGGGGAAGGGGTGGCGTCAGGCACCAAGGCTGCCAGGGCACCAGGCCACTTTGCGCCGAGGATGGGGCAGGAATCTGGGGCCCAGCCTCGGAGCTCTCGGAACCAGGGGTCCCCTCTCTGCACAACCTGACCCCCTTCATCCTTCCCCTCCCGTGGAGACACAAACCCAGAGCAGCCCCCTCCTAGGCTCTCTGGAAGGAGAACAGGATGTGTTCTGGCCCCGGCTTCTCTCAGCTTACTGCCACAGTGGCCCTATAGGACAGGGGACCCACCTGCCCCTGAGGCTTTCAGAGGCTGTCACCACGGGAGTGGATAGCCACCCCCGGAGAGGTTGGTGTTTTCAAACGACTGACCTTGTAACCAGGCCAACACGGAAGCACTATGCCATGGGACTCCTCCCTGGTGTCTATAAAACACGGGTGATATGTGTGGCCCACACCCCACCTCTGCAGGGCCAAGTGCGAGGGACAGGTGAGAGCCCTAACCTGGCAAAAATGTGGACTGCGAGGGACTAGGACCGGGTAGCACTGCCCCTGTGGGTTTCCCAGGCTGGAACTATTTACCGGAGCAGAAAATCTTATCTGTCTTCTGGTGGTTTCAAACTGCTGACCTTGCCATTTGCAGCCTAAGGTATGACCACTATGCCGCCACCAGGGCTCCTTTGAAGTGGGAGAGCTCGGTGTTTCCTAGAGGCTCGGGTTTGACCGTCCCTTGACAGTGTGGACAGGGAGCCCACTAAGTTCAGGTCCGGAGGGGTGGGGGCAGAGTGAGGGGAATGGCGGGGCCACCGAGCAGACCCTGTAACTCCTGGCACAGTGGCTGGTTGATCACCTGTGGCACTGGGAGGGTCTTCCCGGACCCTTAGTTTGTGAGCCTGTGAAATGGGAGTACTGTCCATCCAGCTTGTGAGGACCCAGTGAGGGGGTATACATAATGTGCCCAGGGGAGGGGCTGGGCACACAGGGCCCTTCTGGCCCCCATCACCCATCTGTAGGCAGGAGGGGGAAGTGGGGCGTATTGGAACCCCCTCTGCCAAGAGGGTGTCTGGGGCACCCCTAGGTGGGAGGATGCCCCTTGGGCTCCCAGCTCTCCTTTGACCCCTTTGGTGAAACCTCTGACATACATCAAGTCCCTAATTATCAGTAGGCCCCAGTCATCTAATTAGTTTTCTGCTCCTCATGTGTTATCAGTGAGGTTTGATAGCTTATTTAGGTCACGTAGCAGGGAACCTAAGTCTATCTGTCCCTAGTTTTCTCATCGATGAGGCAGCAGTTGTGACAGCCGCTCCTGAGCTAGGCACTGGGAACCCAGGAGCCAACCCCTCCGAAAGGCCATCTGGGGAGAGACCCAGGAGTGTCCAGGGTCAGCCTGGGGGAGGGAGAAGAGCAGGGGACCACAAGAGATTGGACACAACTCTACCCTTCAAGAGCTTTGGGGAAACATGCTGAGAGTGGGCACCAGTGGAGGCAGCCTGTGCTGGAGGGAGCGGTGGGCTAGATCATGGAGGGTCTTGAATGCTAGGCCCGGGAGGGAGGCTTTGCTTCACAGGCAACTGGGAACCACAGAAGGGGCGTAGGGTGAGGGAGTGACATGTGTCAGTTTCTGTATGCTGGCACATAGTAGGCACGCACTACATGATGGCCAAGGGGCCACTTACACCCTGCTGGACCCCAAGAGAGGAGCCCTGGTGGGTTTGGAATTGGGCTGCTAAGTGAAAGGTCAGCAGTTCAAAACCACCAGAGAGCTCCCATGGAGAAGGAAGCCTCTCCCGTACAGAGCTGCAGTCTTGGAAGCTCACAGGGACAATTTTACTCTGTCCTACAGGATCACCTCAATGGCGGTGTTTGTTACAGACTCTAAGAGTCATCGCACTTAAATTCACATCAAACTCACTGCCCTTGAGTCGAGTCTGACTCAGAGTGACCTTCCAGGACAGGGCAGAACTGCCTCTGCGGGTCTCTGGGCTGTCGAGCTTTTTCACGGCAGTAGAAAGCATTGTCTTTCTCCCTGACTATCCACAGCGACATCTATCTGTTGGAGTCTAGCTGCATGAAGCCCGCCAGGCTGGGACTCGCAGGCCTGCCTTGAGTTTCCAGGTCCCGTTTCCCATTTTCCACAGGGGGCGGCGTGTTCCACCACTTGCTTTCGTGGGAAAGATTTGAGTTTGCCTCTCAGAGAGCTTCCTGCAGCACACAGACGCGGGCTTCTGCAGGTTTCCCTGAGCTCCAGTAAAGCCTGCCCATTGGAGAAAGTCCAACCCCCCACCCCAAAACAAACTCACTGCCCTTGAGCTAATGCTGACTCGGTGTCCCTATAGGACAGGGTAGAACTGGCCCTATGAGACTGAGACTGGAACTCTTTATAGGAGTAGAAGGCCCTGTCTTTCTCCTGCAGAGCAGCTGGTGGTTTTGAACCGCTGATCTGTGGACTGCTGTCCAATGCCTAACCGCAGTGGGAAGAAGGCAAAATGATCATGAGTTTGGGCCTACAATACATTGTCTTTATCAACAACTCTTGTTGGCTCACCTCTTCTTGGCTGCCGGTCCAGCTCAGGCAGGATCCGGGCGCCTCTGAAGGTTTGTTTCCTCCCTTGGCTGGCCGCTCACTTCCGGCACCAGCCCCAGCCCTTCCTCCAGCTAGTGTGTTGGCAGGCACCCCTGCATCCCCACGGTGCAAACCAGCTGGGGGCTCCCGCCTCCCTCCCTGAGGCCCCTCGCCTGTCTCTGGGGACGGCATGAAACAGATTTGGGGTGCTAGAAAAGGGACCCCCAACCATACTGCTTGCTTGATGGTGCCCTCAGGCTCCTCCTAGCCCCACTGTGGCTATGGGCCCCTTGCTTCCGCCCAGGTGCCCAGGACAGTGCTGGCTGGGAGCCAGTGAGATGGCCAGGTCCCTGGGCCCTCCAGGTCTAGGTGGCAGTGGTAGAGCCCGGCCGGCTGGGTGGCTTCAGGCAGGTCATCCCCACCCCCACGCCCTGAGCTGCTTCCAGACTCTATAAAGGGGCCAAGGAGCGCTTGGTGGGTGGACGTGTTTCATTAACCAGAACCCCCTGGCTGTTGGTCAGAACTTTATTAATAGTATTATTTTCCCTGTGTTCGTCATGGGGTGGAATTGGGGGTGGGGGGACATTTTCTTTCAAATGCTTTTCCTGAGCCAGAACGTCCATATCCGGCCCTGTCACATGGGGACAGCTGGCACATGCGCCCCCTGGCAACATCCCTGGAAAGAAGGACGGGTGGGGTGGGCGGGCAGAGCCTCTCCCAGGCCTGCTCAGCAGCCCCTGCTGGCAGGCTCATCTCTCCCCGTTCCCCGGCCCAGCCCGTGAAGGACTGAAAACCAGGAAAGAGAACAGGCCCTTTGCCTGTGGCTCTCTGCCCCCACTCCCACCCCTACCTCCCCCCAGCCCCCAGTACAGGGCTTTCCTCTTGATGCTCCATGCCCCCCAACCTGCCTCATTCCCTTTGCCCCCAGAAAGATGCTTTGGGGTTCACGGAGGACACTGATTCCCACCAAGTTCCGCCCCCCCTCCCCCTTGATATCTCTACCCTGAGAATGTACCTTGGCCTGGTGTGGGCAGAGGGGTGGGAGGGTGGGGGCAGTGTCCAGCCCCTCTGGCCACACCTACTGGGACTGGGGCTCCTCGCCTCTCCACCCCGCTTGCCTCTGGCCCAGGGCTGCGCCAGCTTAGCCAGGGCTTGGCCTGGCTGGGCAAGCCTACAAATACATCTTCATGGCTTGGTGCGTCGTGGGGCAGTAGCGGGCGTGCAGTTGGGCCAGCAGCGCCTGGGATGTGGCCTGTAAGTGCGTGCCCTGGCTCTTCTTGTTCCACACGTGGACGGCGTAGGTGGCATTGAGCATGCGCTCCAGCTCCTGGGGGCGCACATCCTCGAAGTACCTCTTCCAGTTCTGCCAGGGGATGGGGTAGAAGGCCTCGCGGGGCAGAGCGGTGACGCCCCGGCAGGTCCCGCGCGCCTGCTCCCGCAGGCTGCGTATGGCGCACCACTTCTTGAAGACGCGCGTGAGCAGCTGCGGGCCCTGGTGGCCCCAGACCCAGCGGTTGTACTGGGCCACGAAGTCCCGCATGCACATGGCCAGGAACTTGTGGTGGCGATCGAAGGCGAGGAAGGCCCCGTTGAGCACGTAGCGGGACTGGACGCCCAGCGAGTTGCTCAGGTTCCGCAGGCTCCGGAGCACGATGAAGTCCGTGTCCAGGTAGACGCCGCCGAACTTCCAGAGCAGCGCCAGGCGCGCGGCGTCCGAGAGCACGGGGAGCAGGTAGGGCTCCCAGCGGCGGAGCGTGTCCGGGTACCAGGCGGCCAGCGGCGAGCCGCGGAACAGCGCCTGCAGGTCCAGCGGCAGCAGCCGCACGTTGGGGAAGCAGCTGAGCAGCGCGATGCCCAGGTGCCGCGGCAGGGAGCCGTTGACGCCCAGCAGCCCCTTCATCAGGACCACCACCTGGGACTCGGGGTGGGCCCTGGCCGCCGACTCCACGGAGCACATGAACAGGAAGTTGGGGTTCGTCCGGTCGGAGGTCTCCAGGAAAAAGATGTTGCCCGGATCCGGGCCCCTGGGGGGTGGCATGGGGGGCGCCAGGTGTGGGCAGGGGAAGTCAGCCGGCAGGCGGTAGGGCTGCCCGGGGGTTCCGGGCTCTCCCACGATGTGCCAGTAGATCAGGAGGGAAACAAAGAAGGTAAACTTGAAGCCGATGATGAACATCATGCAGATGCGCTGCCTGGGGGCACCTTGGAGGAGCAGCAGCGGGCAGTTGTGGGTGCGGGGCATGGTGTCCCCAGATCCCACCTGGAGCCTGCGGTGGAATTGGCTGGTCTGCAAAAGAAGGCGACACAGAGTGTGGGCGCTTCGGCCACCAACACCCCTGACACAGGAAGGATGGGGCTCTGTGAGGCCAGGAAGGCCCAGGCTTGAAGCCTCGGCTGGGACCACCCGCTGGGGACAAGTCTCCTCCCAGAGCCCTGTCCAATGAGGGCAATGACACGCAGGGCCATTTCAGCTCTCCCAGGGTTGGCCAGTGCCACTACAAAGTGGCCCTCATGGACCTAGGCCAGGGTCTGGCACAGCTGGGGCACCAGAGGTGGGCTGCAAGCCTGGAGCCTGGGCTCAGGTGGGCCTGGCACTGACCCCGGCCACTCAATCGTCAGGATGGGCTGGGGTCCAGGCACATAGGGAGGCCAGCTAGGGGCTAAGCTCTGCTCACCATGATGGGTCTCCAGGGCCCTGCCCTCCCAGCCTCCTCCAGGGATCGTGTGTCATGACCCGGGCCTACATTTGTCTTGCTCTCCACGGACCCTCATTCTCTCCTGCTGCGGTCTGCTGGGTCAGCAGCTAGAAAGGTCCCCGTCGCCCTGAGAATTGCAAGAGGGCGGGGCAGGGGGATAAGAAAACCCGCTCATTCCTGTCTCCTGAAGTGGGGCCAGCAAATACCGGGGAGACTTGGGAGCCCTGCCTCTATTCCCCCCCTGCAAGACAGGAACCCATTCATTTGTTCAGTATTGATTGGCTGCCAGGCAGGTGCCAGATAACCTTCTAAGCCAGTGGTTCTCAACCTTCCTCATGCCTCGACCCGTTCATACAGTTCCTCACGTGGTGGTGACCCCTCCCCAACCATAAAATTATTTTCGTTGCTAATTCATCACTGTCATTTTGCTACTGTTATGAATGAGGGGACCCCTGTGAAAGGGTCATTCGACCCCCAAAGGGGTGGCGACCCACAGGTTGAGAACCGCTGTTGTAAGCATTTTACACCGACTAAGTTATTGGTGGCGTGGTCGTTTGCTAGCGGGGAGGCTAAGTGCAAGGCCAGCAGTTTGAAACCACCAGCACTCCCTGGGAGAAAGAGGAAGCTTTCTGCCCCCCCTCCTGTAAAGACCCACAGCCTCAGAAACCGGCAGGGGCTGGGTCCTGCTCTGTCCTAGAGCATCGCTGTGCGGTGGAATGGAGCCCACAACTCCGGGAGGTGCCGTTCCTCCTTCAGCTGTGGGTTGTGAAACCCCCAGTACATGCTGAAAACCTAGCCCCCACTCCCTGCCTTGTGTGGAACTAAATCTCTGTAGCTGTGTGTCATGATTTAGCTGGTGTCTGTGAACATGAGACCCACTGGGGAGGGTGGGTCCTGAGCCCCCTGAGTGACTGACTCCCTGGGGGAGGCCTTGAGGTCCTCAAAGCCACAGTCGAGGATCCAGGAGCACGGGACTCCACTCGCCTGAGCTGAAGGGGACAGGACGGGGAGGAAGAGGGTGCCCCACACTCGGGCTCCTGGGAGACAGTTCTGATGGGTGAAGCCACCCAGCATGCAGTGCTGCCAGCACGCATCTCAAAGATGAGAAACTGAGGCTTGGTGGAGCCCCAGAGCCAGTAATGGTGGGCTGGGGTTTAAACCTAGGGTCTGTCTCTCAACCCCTGCCCCCCTGCCTGGGAGAGAGGTATCCAAGCTACCCGCCCCCCCACACCTACCCACCTGCCTTCGCAGCCTGGAGAAACTGGCCCACCTGTACTTACTCGCAGTGACCCTTCCCGGGGCTCCAGGCCTGACTCACATCCCTCTGACCCCCGGGAATCCCTAGGGTTTGGATGGGGTAGGGGTAGGGGTAGGAGTCTTATTGCCAAGAGGTGATACCGGTGCTGGGATAAGAGTTGTTGACCAGCCCTCCCCAGGGTCCAGCGCCCAGCATTGCTCTGTCCCCAGCTAGTAACTGACCAGCCTGGGTGGCCCATGGCAGGAGGCGGGATCCCGGTAGCCTCCTGGAGACACGTCCGGCTCAGCAGCTGACCTTTCCTGCCAATGCTGCCCTGGACATGGCTCTTCCATGGGCCCTGGGCGTCTGTGAGGCCATCTGCAGAGATGGGGGAGGAAGGGGAGGGAGGAGGAGGGCGGGAGGAAGGGGAGGGAGGAGGGTTGAACAGGAGGAAGTGAGACAGGTCGTGGCTCCCAGAAGCCTAGCCCACCCTCTCCCAGCACACAGCCGCTGGCCCAGGGACATTTGCCTGGAGCTTAGGAGAAGGGAAGGGCAGCTCCTTGTTCCCAGTTCTTGGAAACAGACACAGGCCAGGTGACAGCTGACACAGGAACAGAAGGAAGGGGCCAGCAGCAGAGCCCTGGGGGCTGGGAGGGGGGAGAGGGCTTCCTGGGAGAGAGACCCTTGAGCTGGGCTGGATGGAGCTCAGTGGGGCAGGGTGAGGGGTGGGGTGGCGGGCAAGGAGGGGGCAGCGAACAAGGGGACCTCGTCCTGGGCCGAGCACACAGTAGCCATCCAAACAGCATGGAGCACAGAGTAACCCTTGCCGCCGGCGTTGGCGGCAGTCACCGGGGCTTCACTGCTCAGTGGGCAGGGGCTTTGTGGGGGAGAGAAGGAGCCTCTCCCTGTGTGTGAGGCCAAAGGCTAGAAGAGGGGCGCGGGTGGCGGGGTAAACACTGGGGTTCAGTGTTTGACAGCGGCCACAGCTACCCGGATGATGGCAGGGACGCAGTGTGACCTGCTGGGTGAGGGGTGGCAGGGTGTTGGAGGCGATGCCCGTGTAGGCAGTTTGGGGCCCTGGGACCCTTCCCTGTCTCTGTTCAGCGGTCTGGGCCCCTCTCTGAGAGGGCTGCCGCTCTCCGTGGGGGTGCCAAGCTCCCAAAGCCACCTCATGTCTCCACCTTGCTCAGGGGCAGATGGATGGCTTGGGTGGGCATCTCCTCTGCTCTTGGCCTGTCTTCTGTGACTCAGGCAAGCATCACCCTCTGTGGCTTCTGGGCTGTGGGCTTATTCATGCTGGCCGTCTCTCAGGGGACCAGTCCCTCTCTCTCTCTCCCCGAGGAAAACCTCCCCCTCCGGCAGCCTCAGGCAGCCTCACCACCCAGGGAGGGGCCACCTGGGCTGGCCTTCTGTCCCCTGGGGACCTACATGGGTCCCTCCTGTTGCCACCGTGCTGGCCTGGTGCTACCTCTTCTCAGGAAGTGCTTGGACGCAAGTGTGGGATCCGCCCTTTCTTCCCAGCCCCGAACATTCCGGAGCACTTGCGCACAGTCTGCCCATAGCGGAAGTGATGGCAGATGAGCTGGGGAGGACCACTCACTCCAGTGGGGTCCCCGACAGGGCAGCACCCCCCCACCCTCGCCCAGCTCCTGGGGGCGGCACACAGAGAAGGAAAGAAATGAGTTAAGCACACCCACCGTTACCCAACATCACACCCTATGCAGCCAGGCACCACACAACCTAATGGGGTGGAGGCTGGCTTGGCCCCAGTGTGTAAACTGAGGATTAGGGACTAAATGATGCTCCCCCAAATGATGTGCTCTACAGCTTGACCTCCATGCTTACGGCTGTAGTCCCACTGGGGGGTTATGTCAGTACGACAGGATTAGCACAGGGGACGTCTTAGCTGGTAACAAGATAGAAAATGGGCAGATGAGGCCAGCAGAGATGGGGGTGACAGACACCAAGCCCCACAGAGGCTCCTCTCAAAAACCTCACTGCCATCAAGTCAATCAACACTTACCCACAGCGACCCTGTAGGACAGGGTGGAACTGCCTGTGTGGGGTTCTGAGACGAAGTCTTTATGGGAGAAGAAAGCCCATTTTTCTCCCTAGGAGATGGCTGGTGGTTTTTGAACTGTGGACCGTGTGGATCAAAAAGCCCAATGCCTAACCACTACACCACCAAGGCTTCTTTCAGCGGCCTCCGAGGACCTAGAAAACAGAAGCTATAGCGACAAGGTACCCTCAGACAGAGGTCCCACAGAGAGGGGGAGCCAGCGAGCTGGCACTCTGAGAACTGTTTCTTTGAGACCTAAGAGATGCCCGGCCCAAGCAGAGGTATTTTCCACGGCGCCGACACAGTGTGAAAGTTGAACCTTGAACCAGGAAGACTAAAGACGGTGCATTTGGACGGTGGTGCTGGAGACGAATACGGAAAATACCACGCTGCCGAAAAGGCAAACAGGCCTGCGCTGGAAGAAGGAAGGCCAGAGCGCTCCTGAGAGGGGAGGACGGCGAGACTTTGTCTCACATCCTTTGGACGTGCTGTCAGGAGAGACCAGTCCCTGGAGAAGGACATCGTGCTCAGTAAAGTAGAGGGGCGGCGAAGGCGAGGAAGGCCCGCCAGGAGACGGGTGGCCGCAGTGGCTGCATCAGTGGACCCAGGCACAGGAGCAATGGTGGGGCCCGTGCAGGACCGGGCGGGGTGCAGTTCTGTTGTCACTATGAACCGGAGCCGCTCGATGGCAGCTAACCACAGCAAGGGGGGCTCAGTGGGGTCACCAGCCACTCCCAAGGGAGAAAGAGGGGGCTTTCTACTCCCGTCTCGGACGACAGGACCCAGGCCTTCTGGAGTTTGTGACCCCTCCTTTCTTAGATGTCTGTCTACGGACATCTAGAAGTGTGGGTACTTTCCTAGCACCCCCCCTAAAGTAGACCAGAGCCTATTTTTGTCCCTCGGGGGTTTTCTTTGATGACCGGCTGGAAAATGATGTTGCACAAATCTTAGCGGAAAAGTTCACAGTTTTATTGGCTTTGAGAAACACCAACTGCTTCTTAAACTCGACGAGCCTTTTCGTAGGTGGTTCTTCGTAGTGGTACGCCTGACTGTCTTTTCAGGTAGTTGTCCTATATAGTCTCTTTCCTTCTTCACCGGTAGCTGGTTTTCATTTAGGAAACCGTCTATTTTCTCACCATTAAATGTCTTTTCTCTCACAGGCTAAGATGAGACCCTGGGGGTATAGCCACATGTTACTTTATTCCAAAAACACAAGGTTACAGTCAGGAAAAGCCAGGGGTGGGGGTGGGGGGCAGCTCTGCTCATCCTCTGGGGTGGCCAGGCGTCAGGATTGCCCGGATGGTAGTGAGTTTGCATAAGGGAGGCTCATTTTCACATGGATTCGATTCATGAGCAAACGGGCATACTCGCAGTCTCCCACCTCCGGTCCCCTCCCCTCCCCTCCCCTTCCCCGTGCAGCAGCCGCTCAGCCTGGGAGGGAGCTTCTCCGGGACAACTCCCGCCCCTGGAGTCTAGCAGGTCCAGACCCCAAGCGTGTAGAAGGCTCTGGAAGCTGCTTTATGCCCTTGACGTCACTCCCACATCCTCACCATCCCTCACACCTTCCCTCACATTCTTCCTGTGACCTGGCAGGGTCCTCCTTCCTGCTCCTACAAAGGCCCCCCCATCTTCCTCACTCTCACCAGCCCAGGCCATCGTCCCTGCCTCAGCAGGGCCCGGCCAGATCAGCTGCCCTGTCTGAGCTCCCACGCTCTCACCTCCCAGGACGCTGGTCTTAGGGTCACTTCTTGCCCCACAGCTCCCCGAGGTGGGACCGGGGTGCACCTGGGTGCCTGTATCCTGTCCAGAGCAGGCTTGAGGAGTGGACACTGGGTAAGAGCAGACAACAAAAGGGAAGGACACTTCCTGATATTAAGTCTTCACCCCCTTTCCAAGTAGACAGTAGTGGTACACATATGGGCTGCGATCCTCGAGGCCAGCAGATCAAAACCACCAGCCACTCCTCGGGAGAAAGACGAGGCTTTCTACTCCTGTAAAAAGGTTGCAGCCTCGGAAACTCACAGGGGCAGTGCCACCCTGCCCTACAGGGTCACTCTGAATTGGCATTGACCCCACAGCAGTGAGTTGGGTTGGGTTTACCCTTTCTGCTGTTCAGAGCCAAAGCCAGGGCACCTGGCTGTCTCCTTTTGCCTCCATGCCCACATCCAGGCATCCGGTATCCCTTGTCCCTTGATGCCCCTTGGCCCGAGGTCCCCTAGTCCATCCTAGCCCACAGGCCTCCTCACTGCACACGACGTCAGTGCTTTGTTCAGGCCATGCATGGCCCAACTGCTGCCACTGACTTCTGTTCTCTTCTGCCCAGCCCCTACCTCCGGGGTCCTTGGTCTCCCCCTGCTGTAGCCTCAGGGCCTTTGTACCTGCTGTTCCTGCTGCTCAGAAGGCTCCTGCGGTGCTCCTGGGGCTCCTTGCCTGAAATACATCTTCCCACCAGAACCTTCCCAACCTGCCTCCCTGCAAAGAAAAGTCCACCCCGCATGGCTTGATTTCCTCTCCCTAGCACTCCGTGCAAGGGTGTGACTTTGCAGACGGAGGTGTGCCTTTTCCGATTTCCCCGCGTGCATGTGAAAGCTGGACAGGGAGTTAGGCAGAAGAAGCAGAACGGATGCAGTTGGAGTCTGGTGCTGGCGAAGAAACGGAAAGGACCACGGGAGGCCAAACAATACCCAGCTGTGTCTTGGAAGAAGTGTAGGCAGAGTGCTCCTGAGAGGTAAGGTTGGCAAGACCTGGTCTTACATACTTTGTACGTGCTGTCAGGAGAGACCTGTCCATTGAGCAGGACAGCGTGTTTGGTAAAAGTAGCCGGGGAGCAAAAACGAGGGACGCCCTCACCAAGCTGGATTGACACGGCGGGCTCAAACATAAGCACATAAAGGCTGTTTGGGGATTTATCACATCATGCGTGGGCCGTACTGGACAAACGTTGAATGAACCCCTCCTCTGACGGACTAACGTATTCTTCACCTAAGCCATGGTATTTTCAATGGTTTCATATGGGTGTGAAAGTGGGGCCTTGACCAAGGAAGACCGATGAAGAATCGATGTATCTGAATGATGGTGCTAAGAAAGAATACTGAAAGTACCAGAAGGACAAATGGATCAGTGCTGGAAGAAGTTAGGCCAGAGTGCTCCTTAGAGGCAAGGATGGTAGGACCGCATCTTACATACTTTGCCTATAGTGTCAGGAGGGACCAGTCTTCAGAAGGACATCGTGCTTGGTAAGCTGGAGGGGACGGCAGACCAGAGGAAGGCCCTCAGTGAGATGGATGGACACAGTGGCGGCGTCACTGGGCT